TAATAACAGCAACAACAGTAACAACAGCAGCAACGACAGCAACAACAGCAACAACAGCAACAACGGCAACAGCAACAGTGATAGCAACAGCAACAACAGCAACAGCAACAGCAACAGCAGCAACAACTACAATAGCAACAGCAACAATAACAACAGTAGCAACAACAGCAACAGCAACAACAACAACAGCAACAACAACAGCAACAGCAACAATAGCAACAGCAACAACAGCAACAGCAACAGCAACACCAGCAGCAACAACAGCAACAACAGCAACAGCTACAACAACAACAGCAACAACAACAGCAGTAAAACCAACAACAGCAACAACAACAGCAGCAAAACCAACAACACTAATAACAGCAACAACAACAACAGCAATAGCAACAACAACAACAGCTACAACAGCAATAACAACAACAGCAACAGCAACAGCAGCGGCGGCAACAGCAATAGCAGCAACAACAACAGCAGCAAAAGCAATAGCAATAGCAACAACAGTAGCAGCAACAACGGCAACAACTACGGCAACAACAGCAACAACAACGGCAACAACAGCAACAACAACAACAACAACAACGGCAACAACAACAGCAGCAACAACAACAACAACAGCCACAGCAGCAGCAACAGCAACAGCAGCAACAACAACAGCAACAATAACAGCAACAACAACAGCAACAGGAACAACAACAACAGCAACGACAGCAACAGCAGCAACAACAGCAACAACAGCAACAGCAACAACAGCAATAGCAGCAACAACAGCAACAGCAACAGCAGCAACATCAACAGCAGCAACAACAGCAACAGCAGCAGCAACAGCTGCAACAACAGCAACAACAGCAACAACAACAGCAACAACAGCAACAACAACAACAACAACAGCAACAGCAACAGCAGCAACAACAACAATAACAGCAACAGCAATAGCAACAGCAACAACAACAACAACAACAACAGCAATTCCATTACAAATCTAGAACTTGAACGTCACTTGATATCTAGATTCATTCAATAGAAGTTTAAATGGACTAGAGTTGCTTCAAAGTTCAAACAGTATCTTGCATAATGAATATAAGCTGGCAACCAATATCAAACAAGTCAACATTCTAAACAACAATGACCATTAAAAAGCCCGCCATCACTTGCAATCATCGATCCAATAGTAGTGAACGCAGCAAAACTCTAAGATCAGACCTTAATCCACAATCATTTCTAGTGCACATCTGCATAGTTGTCATAGAGGACACCAGAACCCAAACAACACACATAAACAAAGTCCTCATAGTTGTCATAGAGGACACCAGAACCCAAACAACACACATAAACAAAGTCCTCAATTCATCCATATAATGTTGTCAGTAACATAACCCATATTTCCTTTTCCCTATAATTTAAGGAAAACTATATCCAACAGCACAAGAGCCATAAAGAAAGCAGAATGTAGCATAGCCTGTGCTGATGAGCTCAGAACCTCAAACACTTCGGCACTGGTTGCATTCATACCAATCTAGAGAAGCATGAATATGCATATCTCACAATAGAGTTTCATTCCTTTTTTTAGTAATTTCTCAAATAATTATAACATTTCTTAATATTTTAGATAGTTTATTTTTTATTGGGACTATTTTTTTATATTTTTTATAAGTACGAGTTCAAGAGTGGATTGGATGTCCCAATTTTTGGGTAAAAATGTTGTATTAAAAAATTAAAAGTAAAATAGTATGAAGGATGACATTATCAATGGGGCTATCTAAGCCGTCCATTTAAAATGGACAATTGGATAGGGGAAGTATAGAAGTTTTATGCTTAAATTATTATTATTATTTATCATCATCATCATCATCATCATCATTATTTTAAACATATAAAAGTGTTAGTTATCTTATCCTTTTTTGGGATTATATTGCCAGCCTTCGTAGTAAGCACCCTAATCATGCACTTGTTTTGTTT